GAGGCCTTGGGTGTTACAGGCCCATGGGCACATGCAAGGACCTTGAAGCCAGTGGGGCCACGCTGCGTTCTGAAGGACACTGAAGAAGGCTGCTGCAGTTGGGATGTGGAGTTTCAGGAGGAGGCTAGGGAGAACAAGCCACCTCATGCACACAGGCTGCATCAGGTAGCAGGTTTTCTCTAGGCGGACGCCCAGCTCACCCGCAGCTTCTGGAGTAATACAGCACCATGGGTCAGAGAGACTGGCGCAAGAAAGGGAGTAAGGAGGAAGGCCATTTTGCAGTTGGTTGCATTTATGTAAGAAATGTGGAAGGAACAGAGTGCTGAGAATGTGACCTGGCACATAAGGATCCAGAGGAATCTTCCGGTGTTTTTAATTTGTGACTGGTTGCAACGGTGCTGGGAAAGGATAGACCCAAAGACCATGGGGTGCCCCAGGCATTGACAACCACTGTAAGAGTGACAGAAAGCACGCAACACCCACGCTGCAAACAGCTTGAGAGGAAAAGGGATGAATTCCCTTTTGGACACACGAGGTGTGGAGCAGCAGATGTCCAAGAGACATGCGAGAGCAAGGCACCATGACAGAAAGAATGGTGGCAAGGTCAGCTAGAGCCTCGTGCTGGACAGGGGACTTCTGGATACAATCTTTGGTCACACGTGTGCTACCCGCACAGGTTGCAAACTGAGAATCCTCAGAAGCTTAATTCTCATAAGTTTATCATGTCGTGATAGGAGCTGCTTTGTCATAGTGAGTAAAGCAGACGTGGGAACTCCTCACAAGGTGCTTACAGGATAGCAAAGAAGGAATCTGATAGGGAAGTGTACAGTTCCAAGTTGTGACAAGTGCTGTGTGGAAATGGAACACAAGACAGCCAACAGAGGTGTCTCTATTTAGAAGGTGAAAACCTTCTCTAAGTCAACAATATATAAGTTATAACCTAAGGCTGAGCGGCAGCCAAAATCTCCAATGGGTGTACGCATGTATACTCATGAATATGTGTGTATGCATGTGTGTGTGTGCAAATGTGTGGGTGTACTTGGAGGTCAGGTCTGAAGGGGGCTCCCTGGTAAAGGGACAGAATCTTCCCTAAGGTAGGGAAGAGGCTCAACAAAATGGCAGAACAGGGAGCTCTTACTCCCCGAAGCAGGGCGATGAGATGTTAAAGGAATCGGCAGTGTTTAAATCCTACACAGCTCTGCAGGTGATATGTAATCATTTCTCATTTTATCCTAAGTGCAACAGAAAGCCACTTAAGTGTTCTGAGTAGAGGAATATTAATTGTCCCTATATTAAAAGAAATTACTGCCTGGGCTGTGGTCTAGAATGGTTTGGGGAAAACGAAAGGAGGTAAGGAAGTCAATGCAGGTGTCCCAGGAGAGCAGCTGGTGACTTGGGGTAAGGATGACATGGGTAGAGATGGAGGAAAGTGGGCAAATGTGAGGAATGGCACAGAATGAGAAGCCAAAGACCCATGGAATCTGGGCAGCACCATAATAAGTGCCCCATAATACAGCTAGCTACCTGAGTATGGAAACAGCCACAGGATTTCTTTACCCAACTAAAATAATCTAGCGACAGGCAAAAACAAATGATCTATCAGTAGCACAAAGTGGTTTGAATTCTGGATCTCATGTCTTAACATCTGAAAGGCAATCAAAATCAAGTGACTTAGGAAACAAGTGGGACAAAATTGTTCCCTGTTCTAGAACATGGGAAATGTACGATGTGAGTTACAAAGGCACCTAAGAGAGTGCCTTGCAATTGCTGAAACGTAGATAATCTATTTCTTCAAACACCAATACATCTGCAATAAGGAGTATGTGTACCTTCTGAATTATCTCATTCTACTTAATAAAATAGTCATTTTTCCTCGCTCTTTACAAGGCAGCTTCTTGCACAGTAAAGATTCTACAAATATTTACATTCCAAGTAGCAGAGCTGTTTGAAATGCTATAAAGTTCTGCCAGCACTTCTATTACAAACCCTTATTTCTTGTTTATAACATGTACATAAAAGAAGGAAAATAAAAATGTACTACGGATTGAAACTTGGCATACAAAATTTCAAACAGGAAGTACATTTCTGCTGCAGCAAATTTCCCAAAGAAATGTTCTACCGTGTTTAAGACCCGGGGAGGTGGGGGGGAGGGAAGCAGCATTACAAACCCAAGACCACTTAGCACACTTGATTAGCTTTTGAAAATTTTCTACAAATTTGATCCAAAACTGAGAAATCAGTCTGAGACTCAAAGAAATGTCCTATCTCCAAATATTCTGAGCCCCAATATTCTCATTATTGTCAAATACTTTCACAAAAGGGATATTAGTGAATGTACTCTTATCTAGCATAAAGAAGGTAATATTCCAACAGCACTAAGTGACTATCTTATATATGTCTGTGTATATTAAAAATCACATACATATGCATATGTGCATATTAAAAGTCACAGGCAAGACCTTAGAGATGCTCAAAGAGATATACTCACTGGGATAATAAGGCTTAAAGGTGGTAGTGATGAAGACTTTAAAACCCACACCACTTCCATAAATTCTCCTGTTATCTGAGTATCTCCCACTGCATAAAATTAACATTATTCTACTGCTAACAACTTATTAAATGGTGATTGAAAAACACAGAACACCGACCCTGTCAGTTTCTCTGTTGTGTTGCGTTGCCACAATATAGCGATATACAGATCCGACAATTTGAAAGGGGGGGGGGGGCAATTACCTCTATATACTATTTCAGCACAAAACATATTAAGAGTTAATGAGAACTTCTAGTCGGACACTTAAATTATGCAGTAAAAACAAAGCTGGAAGATGCATACTGAATATGTGAGAAGGAGTTAGGAACTCATACAAGAGAAAGATGCATATTTTGCTAGCAGAGCGAAGAAGCTATTAGTTTGTAATAACTAGGCATATATGAAATGTGACAGTGATAAAATTGAACATAAATCAGCAACAGAAAGGCTACAGCTTGTTGTCCGCAGCTTATCTTGGCCCCACTTGAAATTGCTCAGTGCTTTGGTCCTATTAAATGGTCTGTGGCCATTTTCAGGCACACTGGGGCTCGGGTTGTGCTGTGAAGGATATTTAAAAGTTAGAGCTCTCCGGCAGACACGAGCTGAGTGCCTTCACATTGTCAGGCTAACAGTAATGACACCCAGACAGTGGGGACGACATGGGGCTGAATGTTATTGTCTGAGGCGGCCACCGCCTGAATCTATGACCTGGCAAATCAATTAGCCACTCACAAGAGTCTCACCTAACCCACCCTTGGGTAGGAGGGCCACTTGCATGCCCTCACCCTCACCATTCCTCTAACCAAAGCACTCAACAATCTGCTGCCCTAGTCGATGCTAATCGTTTGAGGGGTTCTGGAACCACATGCTGACTCTCAAGTGGATGGCAAGCAAGCACCTGGACATCAATTACCCCTGGCCCTGCTCCTTAGGAGTGTCAAGCAAACACCTCTCCTTTTAGTTGGGGTGAACCCTATCAGATGACTTCCTTTAGCCATCAACATTTACAGGAACCTGCCCCATGACAACGAGGAGGGCTCAGACAAAGCACCTCACAAGTGGATATATACCAACCCACAGACAACTCCCTCCCCCAGAGCCATGACCCACAAAGGGTTAAAACCACCACCTAGGATCCCAGGTTACTGTCGCCAAAGTCAGGTTACTGTTGGTAAACAGAGCTAGCCATGGAAAGTAACACATTGGACTTCAGTGGAGACACAAGGGCTCCTTCATTGGCAATTACCCCTCCTCTCAATCTCCGAAGGGCTCTGACTCATTGCTCTGATTAATTCCTGTTTTTAATCTATTTACAGATCAGGATTCTTTCTCAGCCAGTGTGAAATTCATCTCTGTGGGGGCAGACAGAAACCACAGCATGCACATTCTCCCTACTTTTTTTTTTTTTTTAGTTATTCTTGCTTAATCATTTTTAAAATTATTTCTGGATTCACCTCCCCACCGTGGGAGCTGGGCTCTGACTTCCCTCCCGCACACCAGGCTTTCCAGTGGCGTGCTCCAGCTCCGTTACCCCGCATCCCGGGCTGGGGATGTCAGAACTGGCCGCCCCCTGCCCTGCGCTCTGCTCCCCCCTGTCCCCTCCCTTTTAGCTCTTGGAAGGGCTCTGGGCATTATTAAAACGCTTCTCGGAGCGCATCTCCTCGTTGTAAATCAATAAGGAAATGCGATACGGGGAAGGACACACGGATTGGTGAGCCGTGCACTCGCGGAGCCCGGAGCCGCTCCTATCTTCCACGCCACACCAGAACAGTTCTGGCTGGTGCTGTGGCTCAGGCGGGGGTGGCGGGGGACACTCCCTGGTTTTCCGCCTCTGCATTTCTGATACCCGCTGGTTTCGCACTCTGGGGCTCCTGGGAGAACACAGAAGTCAACAAACCCGGGCCGCGTCTAGCCCATCCAAGAAAAGGTGGCGGATAAACACGACGATAGAGTCCCTGCCAGACTGCAGACAGGAGGGCAAGGAGCACGCAGCTCCGAAAACTTGGGCGCTAACCGAGGCGTCCTCCTCCTGCACCCTGGATCCTTTAGCCCCGTGACTCGGGACTCAGGTGTGGGTCCCAGCACAGAGGCGACACTTCCCCTCGCCCTGCGCCTCGCATGGGGCTTCTTTCTCCGCACCCCTCGGCTCACAACTTTATTTCCCAACTTTACTCGCCGAACCCGTGTGCTGAAAGAAATGCAGAGGGCCCGACCCGCATTTCCCCGCGCCCAACATGAGGCTGCGGGATCTTCCAAGCCCAAAGGCAACCCTCGCCCTGGAAGAGAGAAAATGACCTCCCCAAGGCAAAACGGCTGGGATAAGCCCTTTATTCTCCAGCCGGCAGGTGTATTCCCGGCCAACAAACTTCGGGATGGTGACGCCGGGAAGCCGCGGGGAAAGTTGGCCCCGGCAGGTGGCTCCTTTTCCGCGCCCGGCTGGCAGGCAGGAAACCAGGCAGCATCAACCTACCTGGTGCCTGCAGCTCGCCAGGCTCCCGCCCGCAGCCGCCGCCGCCGCCGCCGCCGCTGCCGCTCGTCGGGGCCCGGGGGCCGCCGTGCGCGCCCGCGCGAGCCGCCGCCGCCGCCGCCGCCGCGCCCCGCCCGCCGTTCCCGCGGATCCCGCGGCGCCCGCCCGCCCGCCGCCGCCGCCGCCGCCGTCGTGCGCCAGGCCGCTGCGGCTGCTGCCGGCGCCGAGAGAGCGCTGCGTGCGCCTCAGCTGCTCCGGCTCGGCTCCGGCTCCGGCTCCGGCGCGGGCGCGGGAGGGAGGGGACGTGGCGGGAGGGAGGGGCGGGGAACGCGGCGCGGCAGCCAACGGGGGCCCGCGCCCGCGCTCGCGGCGCCCCCCGAGCCCCGCGCCGGCAGACCGCGCTCTGACCTGCGCTCCCCGCTGGCACCCACGCGTGTCCGGACCCCGCAGGGTCTGGGCGGTGCACGGGTTGCCGCCGGCTGGAGCCTGGGTGGGGGGTAGAGGGAGCCGGTGCGGGGAGGCGGGGGCGCCGCACAGCTGGCTCCTGCGGAGCAGGGGGGTTAAGGCAGGAAATCCCACTTCTGAGAAAACCTGCTGCAGCCGCGCTCCCGCAAGCGCGCCAAGATCTCGGATTCTGGCATTAGAGCGCGTAATTAAGAAGGCTTTGCTGTGCATGGGGCAGCGGGTTGCGCTGTTTCGATGAATGAGTTCGTAGAGTCCCTGGCGCAACCCTGATCTATTACTGTTCCTGGATTCAGGGAGGAGGCCAAGTATTTTTGCCCAATGTTTCCATGAGTCGGAGAATAAACGCAATTGTATTCTTGGATGGGATCTTATCCCCTGTATCTGTCCACGTACCTACGGACGGTGGTCGCTGGAAGGAGAAGCTGGATTTGAAGTCAGCCGGTTGAAGTCCTAAGCCTTTGAGTTGAATGGCGGCACCTGTACAAACAGGGCGACTTGATGTAGGTGAGAAAAGATAGGGACAACTTACCGTCCATCCTTAGGGGAGGGGCTAGTTAAAATGCAGTGGAGCTAGGCAATGGAATAGAAAACAGCCGCTACACCGAGAAAGATGCCTCTACCCGGTATTGGCATACATGACCTCCAAAAGGGGCTGTTAGGAAAAAGACGTTGCTGCAAGAAACTACGTGCAATTTGGTGCCTTGTATATATGCACACTGGTGCCTATTTTGTGCATTCATGGTTTCTAGAACGATGTTCCAAGATGCTGTTAACCCTAGTCATTGGGAGGGAGACTGAAATTAGAGCCGACTTTTTACTTTTACAACTTAAAATTAGAGCACAAGTTAGTTTTCCTTTTACATTAAGAAATCTAGTCACGTTTGCTTAACTGGACTCAAACAGCAGCTCACAGCCCGGTCTCCTCGTCTCACCTCTGCACTCCCTGTAATATCTGCAGTCCAGCCCAGGTGACATCCCGTGAAGAGCAGCAACCTCACCTGACCTGAAAATGAATTCCTAGGGAATGCTTCTTTTGACTGCGCTTTCTCAGTCTTGGCCATTTCCCCCAAAAAAGGAGTGAGCAGTCCCCGCAATTCAGAATGCATTTGGAGCTCTCCCGCAGGGGGGTTAAAAACAGGAGACAGAACCCAGGGCAGTGAGGTGCAGGGCACTGCTCCCTACAGTGAAGCCGGCGTGCAGGCCCCCAGCCCCTCCTACTGACACAAAGAACTCCCTTCAATAGCTGCAACAAGTGCCCCACCCCAAACTGTTTCCATAGTGATGCTCTCTGACCTCTGGAGCACCCAGCAAGGTTCATAACTGATGTTAGCCACTTTTGTCCTGTCTTGCACTTTATCGGGAAGCTGCTTATCCCTGTCAGGGTAATGGCTGGATTCAAAAAAAAAATTTTTTTTAAAGCTGGGATTATTTATGTTTTAGGAGTGGGGGCAGAGGAAAGAGGCAGGGATAGATAGAGCACACTGCAATAAATAAAAATAATGTGCTTTTTCCCATCAGAATTAAATCGCAGTAAATTTGGACTCCTTAGGGTCTCTCTACGTAGCAAAAGAAAAAAATAGAACAGGTATGGAAAGGTGGTTTATGATCGCTTCAGTTGTTATTGGTTACTGTAAATAATCTTTTTGCTTGCAATCTGGGAACATGTTGGCAAACCCCTTGAGTGTGACAAAATGTTTTATTGGGTAGAACTGGTGTATTCTGGAAGAAGCTGAGAGAACTTTACATGCAAATTATGCTCATGCCTTACACCTCGCACATGCAATTACTGCCATGCCCACATCCATCATAGGCATGGGTCTTCTTTTAATATTTTCAAGTTGACGTCTCATAATGCATTTTCCTTCAAATTCATACACATATACCCTAGCTAATGGGAAGGGAAAGAGCATTTCTATCAAGGAGGAGGAGCTGCCCCAGGCAGCAGAATGACAGGGAGAAAAGACAGGAGAGAGTCTTTTAAATTAGAGGGAAATCTAAACCCTCGCCCCTCCCAGCCCTCTCCAAATAATTAGTCATTTCCAGACTCAAATTGCTTTTCCTGTGCTGGTGGAAGCTGATTAATACTGGGAAGGGATTTAATGGAATTTTGAATCCTATAGTTGTAGCAGAAGGGGGGGGGCAGCCTAAAATTTGTGGGCATAATGATGAACATTTAATGTGAGCCAGTTTCCTAGTTAAAACAGATAAAAAGTGGATAAAGATATGTATGGAGAGAGATGTGCACCCTTCTATATCCTCCTCTGGCCCAAAATGTAAAGCATAATGTGAGTCAACTGAAAAACCTGATATTTACCAAAAGTTGATACACAAGAGCAGGTCTAAATAAAATTTCCATCCAATTTCTGGGCCGGAAGCCCAGGAAATTAAAAAAAAAAAATTAAAGTCACATGTGGGTCTTCTCAGTGTGAAAGCCGGATGGAGTTTTTATTGAATTTGGCCTCAACTGATTGTAGTATTATAAGCAATTCCGCAGTGAAGTTTCAGCAACCATTTAGATGGCAAATCCTTTTTTAGGGTATATAACTAAGAATAATAACTTCCTTTTTATATGGTCCCTTTTGTATCAAAGCACTTTAAAGTGTGAGATCATCATCCTCTTATTAAGGTTCTCTAGCCATGTTGGAATATAGAAGCTATTGCATGTCACTGACACCACATAATAGTTATTTGTTTGCCTGTTTACTGTGTAGCAAAGGGAAATGAAGAAAAAATATCTCCTAACCACATGGACTGAAATTCTTAAGTAAAGGTATAAATTGGAATGTAGCCAAACTACTAAGTTAAACACATCTATTTCTGTAAAAAGCAAGGTGGAGTCTTCAAATTTCTGGAAAGACAAGTCCTGTAGCCATCGCTATGTTACTGTCTCAGGGTTCTAGTTGTTACCTGAATGCAGAGATTAAGCTGTGGGGTATATGGAATTGTCGTATGATAGCGAGTCGAGTGGGTTGTTTTGAGTGGTTTTATTTATTTATTAGGAATTTTATTATATATATAGTAATTAATAACTAATTGAGGTATTGTTTTTTCCTCTGAAGACGTTTACTGAAACTTCTACTGAATTGGTCATAGAGCATACGGCTATGTTGTGTGCTTTTTCTTTTCAGTTTCTGTCACAAGAATGTAAGCTTCTTGAAGGAAGTTACTTTGCACTAGCTGCTGCTCTCATAGCTCCCAGCACAAATCTGACTCATTTATATATCATGGGTTTGCATATGGGTTAGTGACTGAACAAACTTCCAGTGTGCTGAATGCTTTACGTGCTTTGCATGCTTCCTCAAAGTGCTTTGCAAGCCTTCCAACCCCATAAGGTAACTGTTGTGTGTACACCATTTCTCCAGCTGGATTTATTCCAAGTTCTTATGCTGGTGTAGGAGATGAGTCAAAGCAGAGAGATAGCGCAAAGATGAGAGCAGGCTTTATTTAAAGAGATTAAAGAGATAGTGCACAGAAGTGAATGTGGACAGCCTCATGGGGAGATTTGCCCCCACCCCAATTTGGCTGCCGCCTTTCCTGGGTGGGGATGGTGGTACCCAAATTGAGTATAAAAATGGGGTGGAGTTTGGTAGGGTTCTGTGCGTGCGATGATCTCTGGGGAGGTTCCATGGTGTCTCTATATGGAGCTCAGTACGCACGTGATCATTATTGCACCTCCTGCATGAAGGAGGAAGCTCAGGGGCATCTTGGGAAAGTGGCCACCCTGATCTGTCAGGAAAGGGGTGGAGCTTTTGCAGTGCAGATCTGGGACATGGAGACTGCTGGAAGCCTCTCAGCTTTGTCCTTCGCTAACTCCCTGCCTAGCCCACATCAGTGCCTTCTGTTTAACCATCATTTTACGGATGAAGGAGCTACAACACAAAAAAAGCAAACTTCTATATCTGGTAGTTCATTCCTCTAGCATTGTACGGACTGTCACCCAGACTCCTAATACCTGACTCTGCTCAGTGCAGCAATATCCTTTGAAGTTAAAGTGAATTTTTGTCAGCCATCCAGTCCTGCACTTCTCAAACTATGATGTGCCCATGAATTGGCTGGGGATCTGATTAAAAGGCACATGCTGATGCAACAGGTATGGGGTGAGGTCTGAGACTCTGTATTTCTGCTGAACTTCCAGACAATGCCAAGGCTGTTGTCTGCAGATTGAATTTTAAGCACCTAAGACATATGATAGCCCAGGCCTCTCCAGTTAACATTACCTATCTGGAATATCCCAAGTTTTAAGGGTTTGCATTAATGGAAGATAAGATTGATACCGGGATTACTTAGTCATGGAATCATAGAATTCAGAGGACCAGTGTTGTGGCATAGAGCAAAGCTTTGCTTGCAATACTGACATTCTATATGGGTGCTGGTTCCTGTCCTCGCTGCCCTACTTGTGATCCAGCTCCCTGCTAATGTGCCTGGGAAAACAGCTGAAGATGGCCCAAGAACTTGGGGGCCTCCCCCACATGAGAGATCCAGATGAACTTCTTTGATTCCTGGCTTTGGCTAGAACCAGCACTGGCCATTGTGGCCATTGGGGGAAATGAAATGAAATGAAAGATTTTTCTCTTTCTCTCTCTCTATTCTCTCTATTCTCTCCCTCTATCTCTCTCTCTCCCTCCCTTTTTCTTTA